ATATAATTTGCCGCCCGACAATCTTCTTTCCGAGAATTCGCGCAAAAAACGCATCGAAGGAGCTCGTAAGCTGTGTTATTAATTTTAAACACTTAAACATAACGTGTCATTAATTGTAATAGGAACCATTAAATTAATTAGGCGCGTATAGATTTGACACTTTTTTTATGATAGAGGAGGATGGACAAATCCACTTGACGGTAGGTCAGTAAGATGCGCTATCGACCTTTTTTGGGTTTGGATATTCGGAAATCCAATCATTGAATCAAAACGCGTCTATTTTAGACAATTTTTATTACGCTCCCATTTTTTTAGAACAGAAATAATGTAGGTACAATTTTCCTTCAGGATTCAATACGAATTCGCAATAAACCCAAATAGTTTATAACATCAATACGGGATTCAAACCCAAAACGTGTTTTAAATACAACTAAACCATCTTTCATAGTAATTATTCCAGCTAGATTACTTTCGTAAGTTAATTTCCAATTCTCAAGTGCCGTAAGTCATACGGCTAGAATTTTTCAGATTATTTTCTATTACAGAATGAAATATGGAATTCCCTTATCAGCACATTACCATCAGATTTTAATTAAAAAGCGTCACATATTTTATGCGGATATTCGGCGGGGGGCGGTGCAAGGTAGTCGGTTCGACGCATTCTAACAAAATTAATGGGAGCCCCGTACTAATAAACTTTACGTAACAAGAAGGGACCGAACGATTCTGGTGACAGAATATTAATTTGTTATATCTAATATCCAGCGGTTTCTCTTATTACTTTTAAACTAACACATTCTAATTTATTTTAAACATTTCTATATAAAATAATAATGTTTATTGGCTACATAATGTCGCTATAATTAATTAGGTGAGATACGCCACTTTGGTTTGGAACATTAGAATTTATATTCTAAAATTAATAAGCCAAATTTCGATCGAGGAAAGATAAAGTTCTGTGTTTTACGTACCTACTTTCTTTGTGGAATTTTTAATTGCTGATCACATTTTTATAGTGTTTTAGAGATTTATAAATCGAATTGTAATCTATTGAGGTTTATTTGTCAATTTTGCTGACAGTAGGAACAGAATAATCGGGTCGTAGTTAAAAATGAATCGATATATATCGCGTTTCAAACCGCTTAAAGTGTTTATTAATGTGTTTCAGTCTTGTAAATAACAGACAATACTTATATGTGGAATTCTCAGTTCTAGTGCGTTTGACTACTTGAAATAATAATACATAAATCAAATTACAAATTTATTGATTACGTTTGTTAGAGCTAATGGAATGTGTCATTGTATATTGGGTCAAGTATTAATGTAACACTAGCGGTTGATGCAGCATTTTAACAGACATAATATGCATTAGATAGTAAATTATTTGATGAGAACACAGTATCAATAGGCGATGAGAAGAACGGTAAGGTTTCATTAGAAATGACTATGCACATGTCCATAGTAAAATAAATTGTGACTGTGATATTGTACACGTCCAATAAGGCAAAGAAATAGATTTTAATACTTGTTCTTAATAACTTTTGTTACTATAAGTACATACTTGTATTATGCACAACACTTTGATCTCCATTCTTTCTACGGAGAAGCCCACAGCCAAGCACAATTTTTGTATTGAACTTGATATAATTATTTTTGTAAAGAATCAATTGTAACGAGCCATCCATTTGAGCAACGTGGATTTATCAGATTCAATGTTAAGTATGTAGTGGTACCTTTGTGGTCGACTTTGCTATTATACTACTTGTAAGCTTTCCATATTAAATAAATAAATATATATTTATGCGTAAACAGGGAATACAGCAAAAGGCGATGTGATAATTACTCTTATTCCATTTATACCTTGGTAAACACTCGAGAACACTTGCTATCGCTCGTTGCGTTGTAAGTCAAAAATGAAAACGACAAAAGAGCATTCCTTTATCCAAGTCCTTTCTCGGGTTCCATGTAAAGGCTACGATAATTCTTGAACAAACCGCAATACGCAAGGTGAAAGTACTTTTTATTTGAACAGGTGACGTTAAAACGTTTCACAGATATTAAGTAACATTTACGAATTATTTAAAACCTAGTCTAGACGATTGGTGATAATGTTTCCGAGCATAATATAAACATTCTTATAGCTTATCTCGAATGCATTTGAGGCGCTAATCAAACGTGATGAAGAAAAATCCGGCTATTAGATATTCATCATTCACACCTCCTTTGTATCCCAAATATAAACTTTCTTATGCCGTATTTTTGTTAACGATAAAACTAGCTCTACAGGGAAATTGAAAATTACTTTAATTACCACACAAGTATAGTACTTCCTAAATGTATTGTTGTAGGATAAGAAAATCGCATACCTGAACTTTTTGAAAATTACAAATTTCGCGTGTATACGAGCCGCTTTTAATGTATATTAAACAAACAATTTAAAGCTAATCATTAATTACATATTTTTTTAAAGCTTTTTTTAAAAAAAACCTTTAACGCTTTAAAACGCGAAATAGATTAGTTAAACTTATTTGAAAATAATTTTTTTAACTTTTGCCCCCCCTTTCCTTTTCTTTTCCCCCCCCCTTTTTACCGAAAAAAAAAAAAAATTTTTAATTTTTTTTTTTAACTCACTGGATTCCAAAACAAACAGGACACCGTGAGTCAGTTTTTTAAGGATAGCTTCCACAGATATACCAACTACGATGAATGAAAAAGATAAAACAGATGGCGCTAGCGCAGCAGATTTTTTCCTTGACATTAGAGACATCCTCTATCTACAGTCTCCCCCTGACCAAGGCTGCTGCAAAGCATTCGAAACGTCATTGGGCCGTAGTTAAATTTCATTTTAAAATTTAACTAATATTCGCAATTTATACTATAGTTCTATATCAATAGAATATCAGTTAATTTTAACATATTTTTTACAAGCCTATTTTAAGTTTATATATTTGAGATTACATTTTGAAGTATAGACTTTTGCGGCGTAAAAGCATTAAATTAAGCTAAGATTTTAATAGGAAAAGGCAAGCTATTTCGTTGTAACCGTGGGGTTAAGTCATCAAGCCTGGTGGACCTTGAGAAGTCAAGTCGTAAGTTTTCAATGCATATTGCACGGTGACCATGTCCGTTACCATATTGCATTGTACCTGTTGCATGGCCGTTGACCCTTCCAGTATTGACATATTCCTATAGTTTCTCACGTCTAGCCCCTGCAAACATGATTATAGCAAGTCGGTATGCAATGCCGGCTCTACACACGTCTATGTCGTAGCAATTTATATGTACAAAACGATTGGTACATTTCTACTATAGTTGTGAAAAGACAATTCATTTTTGACGGTTTAAAACGCCAAATGTATTAGTTATTTACAATATATTTCAAATACGGTACGACATTGCAGATACTTTGCAGGCATTCCGCGTTTTAAGCCATTAAAAGTGTTTTATTTAAATGTGTACTACTCAAGTAAACTTGTAGATATTGCTCAATGCGATGCGATAATGTGTGGTTGAACTTTCTATGATAAAAAACGATTTTATGCTTGCACAGTGTGGCGTCACGTGTGACGATAAAAATATGCAAACTGTATATTTCGGCTGTGCTTTGATGAATTAATTTGAAATTGAATTGTGCGTAGATGTATCTGTACATTTTAATTGTTATCATACACTGGCTACGTGTGCAATTGGTATAAGAACACGAATACGTGAATTCTCAATATCTTTACAGTAACTTTTCAAGAAAACGTACGTTTATCTTATATGTTGTTCTTTTACAAATTTTTATCCTTAAACTTTTTATGAGTTATCACAATTTAGATAATAAAGGAGTAAGTATAAAGGCAATTTTGTTGACAAGTAATAGAAAAACATTAACATTCAATTTACATAAATTTGAATCCTTGCCTCATACAAAAAACAATCCAACACAATCACATTTAATAGATTATCAAAGTCAAAGGTACAAACCATTTATTTACGTAGGTAAATACAGATAAAACCTAAAGACTTTGTAAAGCTGTGGCACAGATAATATTCACCAGAAATCAAAAGTACTCTTTTCAAATACTATCAAAATACCCTTTGATTACTTCCACGATAAGAAATAGCTCTTGGCATTTTTCAAAAGAAATGGATAACAACATAATTCTTAATATGGAAGCTATAATTATGAGTGACGTACGAACATTTATCTAACTACGTATTTAACAATTTCAACGCCACGTAAGTCCGTATTATATACTATCAAACAAACGTGATAATATGTAATTTTGGTCGCATTTTTTTATGGTTAATGACGTCAAATATTATAACAATCTCATGTACGTTATGAAAAGGTGCAAATTAAGTACTTATAAGAAACAGATAACTTAACTTTTATTACTACCTATAACATAAAGGTAGAACGTAACTCGTGTTATGTGAAAAACATATGTCACATCTTGAGTTTGGGATCCCCCAGTTCCTTTAAGGGGTTTCTATTAGGAGTGCACGAATATTCAGTTACTGTCCGTTTCGGTCTTTTATACTGTCCGGCCTTATACCGAATACTTAAGTTTCGTATTTTGTTATAGAGACTCAGGTAACATGAAAAACATTTTAATTAATCAACTTTCCAGTTCATAGTCGCCTTTCTACCGTGATTACGAGAAATTGTAACTCGCGCAGTTTACACGTGGCATTTTTAAGTACTTCTCGAATCTTCGAAATACATCCTTATAGGCGATTTATATTACGCATAGAGCATGTGGTTAATTATTAAATTTTTAAGTATTATAGGTACTTACAATCAAATGAAAAGTAATAGGCTATGAAATATTACTTAACTTAAATAATATAGATAATATCTACAAAATAAACTTGACTAAAATGCAATGTTACTTTAAAACGTCCATTTTGGCGCTAAAATGTAACCGAATAGTTTTCGAATATTCGGCTTTTCGGTATACTACCGAATATACTATTTGTTACAAGCACAATTTCTATCTAGAAAAACTTACGTTGGTCGTTTCCATCGGAGCGGGCCATTACCGTTCCGTTTGGGAAGACGTTGACATACATATGCGAGCACTTGCTGTACAGACGGACAGAACGGACCATCGATGGCACCGCACCACAGATCATCACCTGGAAAGAATAGCACTGTTAGATAAGTTAAATAAGATCCATCATCCGGGTTAGAGTTTGTACCGATGATTTTGTAAGGCTTAGAACATTGTTTCAGCTAGACTATAAAATACATGTAAAACAGTTTTCAGAATTACAATATTATTGTGTTTTTTTGGCTGAATATAACGACTTGCTTTTTATTATTTAATTACTACTCAGTCTTGTTGCAAGAAATATGACCTTTTTTATGAGAAGGACAGACAAGGTGAGGTTCATTTGATAAGAGGTAAAATACCCCACCACATAACATCCTAAGAAGAGACTGTCAACCTATTTTTGATTTAAAAGATATTCGGAAATTTACAAAAAAAAAAGACCGAAACCGGAATAAACTTTACGGCATTTTTATCTGTGCATGTTGGTATGTGACACGGACGGAATTTCGATATTCCTACCATCCATTTGATATCCAGATTTCCAGTCCAACATGTTTCAGGATTATTGAAAATTAAATATAAACATGTTGGACTCGTAGGGATCAATCTTAGGAGTGATTGATTATTAGCTATACATTGCCACCATACACCGACGAGGCTTATACAAGTTTTCCACTTATATAGAAGACAATTTAAAACGGATAAATAAAAGATATGACAATTGCTTCCTACGTGTGTGGTCTTTAATTAGTTTCCTTATTCCTCCACACTTTCACTGCACTTATAATGGCGCCAATGTAGACACCTCATTACAGAGATGTTGATCTATCTCCTTGCAGACTCGTGACCTCATGAGTGCCATAAAAGTGATCTTAACAAGACCTAAAATCAACTGCAAAAACCTCAGCAGTCGTGCATTTTGCGTACGAGCTCGTTTAAGAAATCCTATTTTGGAGAACACTTGATAATAGTATAAAAACCATTGCAATATTAATGTAAATCATACCATAAACATGAATTAAGATAATACGTTCTGAAAAATAATGTTTCCTCAATACCAAATTCTAGTTTTTTTTCAATAAAAATCTAGACAAATAGAAAAAAAGTTCCGTCCGCTATAATAAGGAAACAATCGATCGTTTTAATGGGTCAACCGCGCTAATCCGACCGACCGGGGTTCAAATCCTAAATTTTAGGCAAATTTAAATCCTATTTGTAAGGCATGAAAGTTCTATTTTAACTGTTCCATAAGTTGTGATATATTCTGTTGTGAGTATATTGATGGTGTCATGTTCAGGTGGAAAGCGCTACCACGACGCGGTCGTTCAGACGTATTGCATTTCACGGGCGTTTTTTTCTCTTACTGCAGTAGCTTATAAACTTAACTGAATTATTTGTTAAGAAAAAACCTTACGATGCACGAAGGATACTTTTTTATCAAAGAAAAAATATTAAATGTTGATTATGTATTTTTCGTTTGTTATTTATACAATTTTTTTTATATATTAACTAACACAATACAAATGTAAGGAACAAATATGACGGCCCAGGTTCTTATGCAATAAGCAAGATTAGTAAAATATTTAAAATTAATATTTTGAATTTTTCAATAAATAATAAACTTTTTTTTCGATAAAAAAGTCGGTGGCACGAAGAACAATTTATATAAACTTCGTTTTTCATCGATTCGCATTTCAAAATTTGTCCGACATTATAATTAGTGGGTAACTATAGAAAATCTGTGCGAACAGGATGTAAAAAAGCTAATAAGTAAGAATACGCATTTTCTCAGCACATTCTGTAAATATAAAAATTACCCCCTGTATTTGTTAAAACAATTTAATTAATTCACGTTAATAAGTAACACCAATATGAAGTACGTGTTCTTACTACGCTTTATTTGTTTAATACTCAATTATGTCGCAATTGTAACTTCATGTAAATATATTATGTGGCTCATTATAATTATCGCATATATTAAAAGATAATATTATTTTACGGATTAATATTGTCTTCTAAGAAACTGTCTTTTCATCTACCAACGTACCTGAAGTATTTGAATTATTTGTAAAATATGTCGATTACATTTTTTTATATATATCGATGTTAGGGTTAGCTTTTTATGTCATGTAAACTTTAGCGCCGTTAGTGACAGTTAAAGATATTCGCTTGTTTCTTTTCGTCGTGATAATTTTCTCAGAAACAAATATATGGCCTACACATGTTATCCACCAAATGGGTAGTCGTTACGAGTGGGGCATCACTGAAAATCGACGCGGTGCCTACTTACAGATAGAACTAAAGCTGAGTTGTGTCCCTACAATTACATATTTTTTATTTTTTTTTTTTTTGTTATTTTTGTATTATTTATGTTATTATTTTTTTCTTATTCTTTTATTTTAATGTATGTGGAATAAATTATTTGATTTAAAAAAAAGATACTAAGGCTAAATAAAGAGTTAAGAGTTAAAAAAAATATTTAAAACATTAAATTATAAAACTGGTAGCGCTTGCCCTAATTTTATCCTTATTAAAGTCAAACTGATGAATACAGGTAAGCACAAAAGTGAGGTCAACTAAGTTTATAATTTTGAGATTGTATGAGAATAACCCCAATTTGCCCTTTCAGTTATAGATCGGTAATTATCTATGAATTGACTAGTTACTAGAAGATTTTATTGCAAATGTCTACGTTTATCTGAATGAATATTATTTATCTTCAAAAACACGAATCGAGGACGTGGCCATGTTTATATTATTGTTATAATGTAATCTTTTATTACATACTTTAAAATTCAATTAATAAATATAATATTTTTCAATAAGTTGCGCAATGATCCTACTATTGTTTCTCGAATGTCTTATTGCTCGATTTAATATTGAATTATTTTTTAACGAGTGCATATTATAGTACTTATTACCAAAATCCACCTTTACACAAATAAAAATATCAGATAATACAATTATTAATAATATATGTATGAGATTAAAATATTTGCTTGTGTTAAAACAGAAAGACGTGCTTATGGGTTTATTAGTGTATTGTTGACGATGGATAAAATGATAATAACTCAGCATGATACAGTAGATTATGTTGTAAACATTGTGATAGTTCACAATTTGATAATTATCGAAATCACTCAACTCGCTTATCGGCCGAGCCGGTTCGTTATTAACGCGCGGTCAACTATCAGAACGATATTTCAACCAAATCTATCGGAAATTTTCACACATGAGTTATAATCGGTTTTATAAAAATTATTCGGTTAAATTTATAAAACAATGGTGTATTTTGTTTTATTACCAACTCGATTTAAAATAAAAGATAAATGTAGATGAAGTGCTATTCGGATTCGGCAGTTTTCTATCAATGATTCATGAAAATGATAAACCGTGCCGTCTACCATAGGCCAGATACCAATACTAAAATATTGGTTACAACTTACATGACTCTTGTGCCTTATCGGACCGAAACTATTGTATTTTCCAGCGACTTCGATGCCAAGGAATAAGATTCTACCGTACCTACTACCGAATAATTTTTTGACAAGATTATTTTTTTTTGACACGAGGAAAAGTAAGCATGGGAAGTGAAAATTTTGGATATTCGGAAATCTACAGTGAACCGCAACGCGATTAAACTGTTTTTCACGGTCACGGTTTTTTATGTGTGGGCGGTAGTTTGTGATCCTTACGAAATTAACGATATTCCTACCTTCGAAGACAAAAAAATATTAGAACATTGGAAAAACAACGATCTTTAAATGATTACCATTAGGCCAACTAAATCGTAAGACATACCGTAATTATATCGTCATTAATGTATTTATAAAATATCTACACCTATAATTTAATTTGTACAAGAAATGACATATTGAGCATAAGTAGTTAAAATACGTTATTCTTTACCTATCTTCCAAATCAAGCATGAATTAGTGACGTCCTTATAGTAATAATCAGATCTTATCATAGAACTATTTAACACCGGTGGATTAAAATGCCCACACGCACCTTTTACACAAGTATTTTACGAATTCCTTTGAAGTAAACATTTTTGAAGAACAATTACTATAATACTATAATTGTTTTTATAATAAGAGTTTTAAGTATAAAATTAGGTTTCGCGACATAATTAAAGTATAATTAATATGTAATCAGTAAAACGCACTGAAGCAATTTTTTTTCGATTTGGTATTCTAAAATGTTCTTTATTCTCAGTACGTTAGGACATCATTCTGTTTGTACATTCGAATTAGAAATTTAATTGTTATTTAAATAGTTTCATAGTACTTTATATAGTATTGTCTAAGTATATCTATTGAAGACTGTTTTTATTATAAAATTTATATTCCTAAGTGTTAAATCTTATACTTTAAAAGTTTATCACGTTCATCTTTAACAGTTCCCGAGCCTTCAATAAGTGTGTATATACTTACAACACGTAGGAACACAAGTAAAATATAAGTAAGGTGTACATAAAACTAAAGCAATGCTATGCTTCACTCTTTAAATGTTTTTTGCCAAAAATAATAAAATATCAAGACTCGGATTTAAAAGTACCTACTAATATTACATTATAACATTAAGATCACGTTGCTATGTTTTTGAACCATGTTGTTAAAAAATCAACACGTTGAGCATATGAAAATTAAATAGAAACTAATTTTGTGCTTAAGTTACGTGAGACTGGACTCGAATCCAGGACGGATTGGTGTCGGGGCGAAAACAGTTACAGATAGGCCTCGGACATTTGATCAACTACTTGTCTTTTTTTAAATAAAACACTTTTTATTATGTAAAACGCGAAGTATATAATGTGCTACACTAGAAACATCAGTAGCACTTATTACTTTGATATTAAGAACAACATCCAGCTTCGTCCTCCCGTAACCACGGCTACTGCAATGCAACCAAAATATGTGTAATTACTTAATACATTTCGCGTTTTAAACAGTTAATTTTTATTTAAATATGTACGACTCCCGTAAACTACAGACAGTACTGAACAACTTGTCTGTATTTAAAACCGATCCGGAATAATTGGGTTTTTTAAGATAAGCCCATTTTGCACGTTATTGTTATATGTGACTCTCAACGGTGGTTTTATTATTTAGAGCAATGGTTGGTTTCCTTCTAATAATATTACTTATACATACAAGCAATAAGCGGTGACATTAGACACAAACGCGTTTGGATTAAATTATGAAAATGATCATCATAAACATGATCCCCGTGTTCAATAGGCGCCGGCGCATTCAACGCGCTTTTTGCTGATATATTACTTACAGTCGGCCGATTGCTTTACTCGATATATATATAAATTACAAGCTTCAATGTACGATGACGTCATTGAGCTTAACTATGAGCTTTTCTCAAACATGAATATCATTAAGTGATTTTTTTTAAATTTTTAACTTTATTTGGTCAACGTTTTTGTTATTTCATGAGGATTATAAAAACTATTTAAATAAATAAACTTTCCACTTTCGATCGATTAATAATAAAATATTTTAGATTATTACATCGCCACTGTAGCCAAATGGTTAAACATTGCGTTAAGCGTGAGAGGTCCTGGGTTCGAATCCCAGGGAAACAAAAAATTGTTTCGATCGGGTAGGGCACAGAACAACTACTTGCTTGTTAAAGGTTGGATCAGTGAAACGGACACAAAAATGTGTTCGCCCCATGCCCCACGAGGGGGAAAAGGGATTTCATACTTTTATATAAATAAACTTTAATTTGCCTTTGGCCCTGCTTTACAATTTATAGATAAAAATATTTCTTTCTATTTGGAACTATATATTTCATGCCAATCCCATATAGATATGTCTGTGTACAGTACTACAGTCTTAATAAGAAAAATATATTTTCATTAGGAAATTTTGCAAGTTGTTTTTGTTAGTTTTCTAACAACTAAACCAACCTCCATCTCCACTCTCAAAACGTAAAATTTTCTTGGACGCATGAAAGATATTTTTAGTTTGCATTTTATGTTCTGTATTTTAGATAAAATATTAAAATAAATATTTTCTGAAGTACAAAATGTATCTTCTAAACGCTAATACCACGACACATGTACCATAAGCAGAGGTAATCCTTAAATTGAATTTCTTCATCGACCGTAGCGTGCTTATGGGTAATCGCACCAAATGATAGGTAGTCGGTAGCCTCCGCTTAGCGTCGCTATGATAGTCTACGTTTTAATATTAAAATCATTGACATCACCTTAGGCAGATATACAACCCGTTCGCGAAACATATGTGCTAAAATATATTTACTTTTGAGATAAAAGCAAGTTAACCGCTCTATCACTACATTCAGCCAACAAATAATAAAAAATCAATATCTTAATAAATCATTTACAGTGCAGGGAATCGAACTAGTGCAAGTTTATTGATGTTCCGATGCGTTATTTTTTTTGTAGCTTCTATAATGGTGGTTATGTAATAATAGTTATTATCAATAATAAGGTAGTATATTGAGGATATACTAGAGTATGATTTATTTAAATTATATATATATATATACCTAGATAGTTATAGAATGTCTACCACTAGTAGATAATAATAGACACACAATATTCTGTCACACGAAGTTTAGTAATGTGCAAACATTTTCTTATTAGAGGCTAATGCGAATAAAATGACAACTGAAATTGATATTACTAATCCTTTTTACTGGTTACTTTTAAGGTATTAACGTATATAAATTATACCATTATGATATTATGTTGTGACTTGTATAACAGGTGGGGTTATGCATTTAAATTAAGCAATAAAATTGGATTAACCGTCCATAACTAAATAAATGTCGACACTGTAAAGACGATAACTAAGACTTAGGAATTTTAGCCTAAACCTTAAAATAAAGACATCAAAAAGTCAAACAATGATCCCGGATCTTTTAAGACGAGGCATGTCATACGAGCTTTGATGGCATTCTTTGCTTTTTTGTTTTCGAAAGGTCACAATAAAGATGCAAGTGTAGTTACAAAATCGAATCAAGAAAATTACATAAAAAGTGTTATCGTAGAAAAAATTGAAAAATTCAATTTTTATGTGAAAATGGTGATGGATAAAAAATGTGAATATGAGGGTAGGCAGAAACTTACCATCAGGAGGCACAATATCTTCGCAGAGACGGCAAGCTGTGGTAACCTGAAAAGATACATAATATTATTTGTATTGCGTATAAAAATATTTTACAGATTTATAGACAAATAATGATCATTTCTTTAATTAAGTAACTTAAGTATACAAATTGTTTAATTAGATGGCCCCGTGTTGGAAGAAGGTTTATGAAAATTTCTAGTATAAAGAAGTAGGTGTCATCACGTAGGTGTCAAGGTGCTAACCTTCACGAGAGCAGCATCATCGACTTGGGTCCTCACTTATACCTTCTTTTATAAACCCAGAGGAATCTCATGCTCAGCGGTGCAACTTAACCCTTCATAACATTCATTGGTTGGTTGTTTTACGAAAGAAAAAAGATAAACTACTAAATCCGATTTATTTTTAAGTAATTAATTGAATGACTATAAAAGGAAATAGCTGTAATTACATACCGTATGTACCTGTATTGACTGAAAATAATTTTCAGCCGAGACAAGTACTTACGTTATGAATAAGCAATATCTTAATAACACTGAAGGGTAGCGAAAGGTTTAAAAACACTCGCCTTAAAAATTGTTTCAGTGCATTTTCGTATTTGCCGAGTTGCAATAGAGTGTATTTTATAAAACGTGTATAATTTTTACTATACAGATGAATAATACTTGACCTTTTGAAATCACCCTCGCTTTACGCGTTTTACAAAGCAATTAAATTAATCGCGGTTTGAAAACACACTTTTGTATACCTAATGTCGGTATTTTAAAATTCATTTGATTTTATCTAATTTTGAATTTAAAATTTAATAAAATTATTGTTCTCTTTTTAATTTAATTAATAAAAGAACAATAAATATTTTAAATATTATTTTAGTTTATTTATGTTAGTATAAAAGTAATTTTTTTTTCAGCCTTTTTTTGGGCTCTTATCCTCCTCTATGTTTTACGTATATACACTTGTATTAGACAAGGTTTATGATGTATGTTTAAAATCTCACTATCTTAAAAATATCACATTAATCACACATAATCACATTGTCATAGCTAAGTAATACGATACGTAGGTGCAATAACAGCAAAATGTTTAAAACAAAAACCCAGTTCAGAGGTCATTCAATCAACCTTAGATAATGGACTTAGCGAGTAACCTATAATTTACTATGTTGCATTTCATTGTAATCATCGATACACAGACAGAACTACATCCCTCGATTACGAACTGATTTCGTAGAAGATTACCGAAGGAGGAGTGTTACCGAGTTCGGACTCCCTGAAACTTTGGTTCCTACCACGTTTTTCAAAAACAAGAACTAATCATAAAGAACGACCGTGAAAATTTTATATAAACTTGAAATTGCACAATATTTAACAACTATTCAATAACTTTACTTGTTTTATGATCTGTAGGGACAATATTGATTATGTTAATCGATTGAAATAAAAAACATACAATACATCGGAATTCGTTCTAATCATTATATTATGTTAATCAAACTGCTGCGAACGGCCATAGCGAAGGAATATAATTTAATTGTTTAATGCCATTTATATGCTGTATTATTTTGATTTTTGCGGGTTGTTAAATTAGGATCCTACTTTAACTCTTTCTATAAATCTAATGTAAGATTTCTATACAATATATGTATATAGAATGTCCAATAAACATACGTTCCAAGAGAAATTTGTGATTGACCTTTTGTAACTCACTTTTGGCCAGCGAAATAAAATAACACTAATTTAAATAAAAACATTTCTTGTTTTGCGTTAAGTTTTAATTTATAAAAAGATCAAATTTTTATGGGTTCATCTCTTCATGAGGTATAATGAATGTATGCAAAGGGTTGTCTATAGATAGTAGAGTAGTATATAGTAAATATTCGCAGACGTAGGTATTAAAAAATAATCAGTAAGAGAAAACAAACAAAACAAGTCTTTATATTTGTTGAGCTAACGACCTGACTAACTAAATAATGATTTAAAGAACCTTGCATATAACTTAACTTGCAATGTTATAGAAGTGTGGTAGTGCAGAAGGAGCATGGGGTAGACATGCTTCTGTTTTACTTACAGACATTTGTTTATCGGTCTTCTGTGCCTGATCAGACTGAAATTACTATTTTTTTTAGGGGGTTTGACCATTAACGAAATTATACAAAAGACTGCTGCAAAGTAACATATTTATTAAATATCAATTAATTTTCAAAATAAAAACAGATCAATGGTTTTGAGTTGTTTTTTAAAGACATTGAGAATATATATGAAAGCATGTGAAAATCATCTTTTTTTGTTTTATTAACAAAATATGTGGATTTATACAATGGTCTCTGGTCTTAAAATAAGTATATACAAATTATAAATATTTAGTATAAGTGGTAAATAACATAACCCACTTAGTCCTAAATGAATCAATTATAAGCCATCGTCGCTGCAGCCAAGCCGAATCGCCGGCTCATAGTTCAAAACTGTTCAAATTTTTATAAAAATTGTCCTTTATTTGCGGAAACTACAGACAATTTTTTGTGAATTTTATTATAAAGATAACTAATAGTTATATTATAGAACAAACAATAATATTACGGATTTTAATGACCTGTAACTTTTCTTCGCGGTACGTGAAAATGCAGTAAATCTCTGATGACGAACATGCTAACAAGTGAAGTTATAAATCATTTAAGAAGGTTTATCGAAGTTGATGGCCATTCACAATACTATGGTGTAATATTGGGTCACTTCTTAGAAATACAACGTAACTTACGTTAAATTACTGTATGCTTCATTTTGGGTTTGGGTTTGGGTTCTGGGGAAAACACATTTACGTGTCTATATTGTCGACGAATTGACGTCCAAGAAGCCTTAACAAACTGCCTTTTAACTGATTTATTTTGTTTAATACCAACTGAATAAAACTGTAATCGTTATGTGTTCCACTACATTTTTGTGCCACAAATGTGAACAATTTAACGTTTCCCTGTAATCGAACCCGTTGTATTTTATCATGCTGAACACAATTCTAATCCAAAAAGTAAAGAAAATTTGTTAACAGAACTGCTTCATTTACATATGATCAAATGTAATATTGAAGTTATGTATCTATCAATAACTTCAATATTACATGACTTTTGTTAAGTTATTCGAATACTTCTAATACACATATTATTTCATTCAATTCAGGAAGTTATTTACATAATATCATTGTCGCTAATCGGCTAATAAAAAGATATGTTATCAAGTGTACGATATTATCTAATATATTATTGTTTGAACCTTTCTATATGAATTCAATGAGTGTGTTCAGGACAGTGGTATCACTTTCAAAATCTAATATACCAACCGCATAGTATTATTGGTTTGTAATTTAATAGGAAAAGCTGATAAAATTATTCTTTACTGAAAATTGTTGATATAAGTTGAATTCTGAAAGAGATTTCTTTAGATTGGATTACAGTATAGAAGTGTTCATTGAGTTCAATCATAATTGGGCAGATATAATATAAAATATAAAATAGCTGTGAAATCAAAAAGATAAAAGTTCAAGTCCAACAGTATAAAAAAAGTTAAAGTTAAAGATGAACATTAAGGTAAGTCAAGTATTGTCTTTAGTTAACACGAGAGGTGCACCCTAGAGAAAAAAATAACAGTTTAAAACGCAAAATAGGCCGTTCGTAACTTCGGTTCGTTTAAAATATATTAAATAATACGTATCTCGTTTTTAACGGTTACAAGTGTCTTATTTAATAATAAATTGAGAGTAACATAAGAGCATTCGTGAATGAGTACATATAGCAAGAAAATGTAATAGTTGTCCGACATATTCAAAAAATTGTCATATAGCACAAATTTAATAATAAGACAGACTCTTGAAAACACTGAATTTGACCCATTTAATGTACTCGTAAACATACCTATATCGCAGATATAATATATATGAACTATTTGTTTTGATAGTAAAACATTGAACAGCTATTGATATTGTAGCAATTGATAAGTTCAATACTTGATACTAAATACCTGTATTAATTTATATAATTTAAATGCGCATTTCATCGCATTAAAGAAAAAAGTTAGGATAAATATACCAACACATTTAAGCGTACATAAAAGAAAGATAGAAACACTTCACAACACTCCTTCTAGTAGTCTGTATTATATACCTATGTTTATAAAAAAAATTACTCACATAGCCGAACTTTGCCGTCATGTTTTGTCCCGTTGTATATTACGTTGGACACACATCTAACTGAATTTCCCAGCCGATTTTCCTTTACGAAAACTGAACAATCCACTTTATGTAATAATTTAACACACGTCGCACTCAAAACAAAAAAAAAATCACTCAAAACAGCATATTTACACGCCTCCGTAAGAGTTACAGCAAACAATAGGCTTTGTAATTACACGAAAAATAACTATGAACTATACACGCTCTACGAATTCTGAAAACACCTCAAATGTTTTACACCACTTTTATTAATCCAAATGGAAGTAAGGTCGCCATGGACCGCTCCAGATTGGCAATCACCCCTCCGAAATAAAGAGGGGGTGGGGTTTTAAGTTTCCTAATTTTCGTGTGAAGAATTTTCACGTGCGTGGTTTTCGTTACATTAACGACATGCGCACTCCGCGGCGGGCGGGCGACGACTACGAGATAAAAACCTCGCTTGATTATAAACTTATAAGCTAAAACTTTTTGTTTGTGTGCGTGTGTTGTGTTCAGCCTTTTCCGTAACCCTGCTAAGTTTTCACTTAGGTCTTCTACGACGTTCCATATGCGATCACATTGGCTAATAAATTCGCCTTTCGCCTTTCAAGGTGTCATTTTAAAGTTCGGTTGTCATTATCACCGTTGGATGGTATATGGTAAAAGCCGATGGTAAAAGTAAAATAAAAGAGAAATCGCTTTATAAAACGTTTATGCACCTGAGTGCTTGAGTGGTCGTAATCTATGCGTGGCTTTATCAAAATGGGCCAATGCGCGTGCCTACCTCACTCCTTTTTATTTCGCTCGAGAAATCCTTCACCCGAGCGATAGCGTCGTTTTGCTTTACATAAATTACTTTTTATAGTCTGGGCTGGATCCGATCGAACTATGCTAATCGGCAATGGATTGCATATTTATCTGTGCACACGTAAAACAACGCAACAAATCGTGAAACTTCTTATGTGGTGTTTTCTTTTTGATAGATTAAAAATCTAACAGAATTGTTTTAAAAATCTACTTAAGTATGAGAAGATATATGACATGTCACTTGTAGGTATTATCTATTAATTATAGTTTCTATATAATTTTAAAGGTATTTTTGTCGTATTTAAATAATTGGCTTTGCAATAACAAGATAAATAAATACCTTATAAATAAATTAAAATATTATTTTTATACTATCGATATTCAATAGTACTGTTTTAACGGTTTAAACTTATCATCCTATATCAGTCAAAGTGTAGGCAGAAAATTAAACTTAACCATATTATTATATGATTTGTATTCAAGTAAAGTTTTAAGTTCAACTTTGATCTCGATTAACCCAAGTAAATACGATTAAAACAGCGTTTGGTTTGCTCAGCTGTTAGTTACAACTCAACGTATTGCTCAATGCTTATTGTAATTCATAGTTGCCATGTTATTTGTAAAATTCAGGGAAATAAAGTGTTTTTTTCTTCTATCTTCTCGTTGTCGTATGTGCACACCAAATGCCAGCAGCTTGCTAGATCGAAATTTCTTTTTCCAGGAACTCACGTTCGAGCGACACGTAACTCTGAACCTCAAGTTTACTACATAAGGAACTAAAGCGGAGGCGAGAGACAGAAAAGGCTAATTCATATTGTTGTTCGTTCGTTAGTTCGTTCGTTCGGTTTGCTCGATGGAAGGTGAAATACCTCAGCCATATGACAAATAGACGATGTGCTGTCGATATTTCTGTCATATTTTAGCTTGTAGATATTCGTAATACCGTAGACGATAAACGCGACGAAACTTCATGGCTTTTTCGTCTGGTGGTTGGTGGTTCGTGACCAGAACGGAATTTCAACAGTCCTCCCACCCATTTCAATCCAGATTTTAGGACGAAGGTCAACATTAAAAATATATATATAAATTGATTAGGAACGTGTTGGATGGGGATGGGGATGGGGATGGGGAACGGACCCACGATCCGTTGATTGTTAGGCTAATTTAGTACTTTTACACCAAAGAGCCCATACATTTTCTCGTTTCTTCTAATAATGCAATAAAAATAAATAAAATCGTATCAAATAAAACCCCTACAATAATATTAAAGTTAAAAATTATTCTTATTAGCTGAAAGCAATTCAAAATAACTATTATTATGGTATATGATTTTTTTAACTAAATGTAAATTCTGGGCATTACAATACCATGTCGTTGCGTGTCATAAAACAAATTGTTATTACAATTTTATAATCTCAACTACAAAAGTAGAAAAAAAAACGAAATTATACAATATAAGTTGCTTATGATTTGAGAGATTATTACAATTTGTGTTTGTAATAATCTCTTCGACAAACATTTCAATAACACATTCTTGTTATGTTTCATGAAATATGTATTATTAATAATATATGAAAAATTATTCAAATTTATTTTTGCTAACACGCAAATAGTAATACTATACACCAGACAATATATCACAGAGGTAATTAGTTGGAAACAGTGTTAAAACATAGCAACAAGAATTTCTTGGAGGCATTGGAGAAACGAAGCCTCTTGTATGGTTGTGTGCAAATATTAATTAGTTAGATAATTACATTCAAAACAGTTTAGCTCATTAGGCCTACAAGTTTTATTTGCACACTCATTTAGCGTGTGTGTATTGTTGTTTAAAACTTGTCATTGTTATTACATCACCCACACATATATAAGTGACGAAAACATTATGAGCAAATCTTGATTGTTGACATCGCCTCCGAGGCTCAGAAAGTAACCGCGACAGATATCCTGGGATCGATATCGATTGACAAAAATATTGTTCGCCAATAAAAAATAAATTAACCCTGTACACTTTAGCTAGATGGTTAAACGCACTGCAGGCAACACTACCATTAAATACTGTCTAGTAGTTTACGCGAGTAGTACACATTTAAATAAAACACTTTAACGGTTTAAAACGCGATATATTAGTTACGCGAGTAGTACACATTTAAATAAAACACTTTAACGGTTTATAACTAATATATGGCGTTTTAAACCGTTAAAGTGTTTTATTTAAATTAACACTACCATTGCATAGAACGCGATAGGTCTTCGATTCGAATACAGGGGAGGCAATAGATTGTTTTCATCGGGTCAGAAGTCTGATCAATTACTTTCGTTTGAATAAAACCGATCAGTGAAGCGGACACAGAAGCGTGGCCCCTTGCCCCACTGGGGAAGCGGGTTTATCTTTTCAATGTTTATACTATTAGTACAAAAAAAATCACAAAAAACATACAAGAGCTGAGTTCGAGCTGTATAGGAAAAACGATGATAATTTGTCGTACTGACACAACTTTAGTTGACGTGATACAAATACTTCTAAATTGTGAGGCAGTGTGCCCTTAAATTGCCTTAAACCAAAGAAAACTTGAATCGTAGAATCAAGTATTTAGGATTCCGATTGTTCACTCAATCATTACATTCAAAAATACCCGTTCATAGACCTATTAGATGACCTTCCTAACTTCCTATATCGGTGACACGTTCCTGTTTTAGTATCCTTCCTTATTTTGTTATTTGGTACGTTTTTTTAGATACCGTATTGACCAATAATAATCAGTTTCCAACATCTAGTCCTGCTTTCGGAAGTACGATCCTAAGTTTGAGTTTTGAACCGCGTCGTAAATTATTTTTGATTCAAAAAGACTAACACTTTATGTGTGATAAAATTCATAGCTTGAAGTTACAATCAGCAAATAGACATATAACTGTTCACATCACACAACAATAAGCCAGGAAGATCTATAAATCACAAATGTGATCTTCCGCTACTGTTTCGGTCGCAGGAACACAAAATCCGGTGGAACCGCTTATTTGTAACGTCCGTGGTATCCGAAAATTATCTCAATTGTCGTGTTATTGGATTTCCTACACAGCTAATACTTAGGTGGTAACTCTGGTCTTCCGACACAACATTTCCGGAAGATATCAAAAGACAAGGAAAGGTTCCGTGTTTCTGCAATTGCAGTTCCAACAATGAATTTTACGTGAATACTACGCAATTAATGTAAATATTAAACACGTTTAACTATGTAATACGCGTAATATAGTTTTTAATTCACTTAACCACCTACCGCGACCACGACTGCTGCAAACCACCCAAAACGTTGGGCCGTTAAAAGTGTTCATTTTTTTTTCTTGAATTTGTAATTATTTCTAATTAAATATATATTAAATAAAAAAATCCGATTGAAATTGAATGAATAATGAATTTATGTATGCAATTTGTGTTTGTTTCTCCCTATGAGGCATCGGACGGACACCACCAAAGAAGACGCCATATCATAAAATAAAGTTTTTATAAAGATAATTGCCCCGGTAGGAACCGAACCCACGACTCATTTATTATGTCTCACTAACGAGTCAGTCAATTGTTGACTTTTTTAAATACATATTTTAGTTCTAGTACTCAGTTTTACTACGTGCATATAATTTAATAGTCAATGCTACCTAAATATTCTTGCCATATGATTAATATAAACCTCTTAGTATTTACGGGTCGTATTAGCTTAACCTTGATGTGCCGTTACCTAAATATTACCTACATACAATTCGGTACTTTACAAGCCAATATATGTCTTATTGCATAACTCTATTACTTCCTTATATCGATGCAAATTCACTTGAACCGTTCGTTAAATATTTTAAAAGCTACATGATACCACTTGGCTGTGCGACTGGCAAATACTGACTGACCTCTCCAAATTGAGTTTGCAAATGGATATCGAGAGCACTAAAGTCAAACAAATTAAAATAAAACTTTTCCGCTTGGGTAAGGTTTAAAAATCAAGATATACATATATTACGAGCTGTGAGAAATATAAGAGGACTTACGCCGCTTGAAAAATATTAGAACGCTTGAGAAGGATTTTATACCACCAGAATTTAATAAACATAAAACATTTTAACTGTTGAAATATTTGTTCCTTTTATTTCACTACGACAAGTCGTCCCCTTATATCCATGACTGCTACAAAGTATCATTAGGT